CGTTTCTTAGTTTCTAAATAATGATTTTTATTGAAACTTGAAATTTTTTGATAAAAATTGTTGTCAAAAAACGTTGTTTACAAAATTAAATTTCATAAAATTATGAGGCTTATGTATACTTTTTGTTCATTTTAATTTTTGAACTAATATGATTCTTAAAACTATAGAATGTAAAGTTTAAATGGGCCTTTCATGTTATATCATTAAATTTAGTAATACTATTTCTCGGGCATTAGGTTTTAACTCTTATAAGAATATACATATTTTTTTCTGTTTATGTGCAAATATTTTTCCGATGTGTTTTGGATGTTCCTTCTCTAAAAAAAAGAGATACCATTTTGTTTTCGTTTGCATAAGAAAGGATATTAAACATTTTTCTTTTTTAAATTTAATTAGCCACGATAAAGAAGGAAAGTTGCAATGTTACACGCTACATTAAAGACGTCTCCAGAGTAACTGAATAACGGTTCATATAGAAATCGCAGGTATGCGTCTCATACAACAACGCCCCCTATAGTTCGTTGCGATCGCGAATAGTGGAAGTACTCTTTCAAAGCCCGTGTCTTTTAAGTGGAATAAAGTCAAAAATGCGAAGCATTCCAAAAATTTTCCAAACACATTTGTTCAAATCTTGTCCAATGTATCACTAAAAATATTTAAAAAATAATTAGCTAGCAAGAACATGAATAAAAGTAAAAATATTAAAAAATAACGGGCTAACAAAAGCATGAATAAAATAAAATAAACACATAAAGAGATAAACAATAAAATAAAAGCAGACGATAAAATTAGAAGACCTTTTTAGGACAAGAAAGTTGTTGGTTCTTTTAGAGATTAATTGGTTTTGGAATTTGAGTTTTCATATAATCCGCTACGGGTTTATCTAGTTTGTTTCATAATATTTTATATATCCCGTTATGGGTGAATTTTCATATATCCCGTTATGGGCACTTTTTCTAGTTTGTTTTATAAGATTTAACTATCCCGTTACGGGTAATTTATATTTGTTACTATATTTGTTGTAGTGTGAAATAAATGTTTTTTTAATAAAACAAAGAACTGTTTCTTAATATAGCTTGATGCGTTACACCGCGCTCTACATGAAAAATTACCTCTTCTATTATTAGAATTATCAGATATAAGTACTTATAATAATTCAATAAATTTTATTTTTGAAATAATATATATATTTTTGTTTTCGAAAATCTTATTATTATTAAATAGATGAATGATAATCATTTTATAGTTCTCTTTGGTTAAATGTGAAATATCTTGATTCTTATTTTATTCTGGTCTAATTTCACATATATATTTTATATTTAAAATAAATAATTTTATTTACTTGCTGTATTTTTACTTACTCTTATATAATATCAGAGTTTTTATTCTGAAATTACTGTAAAATAACAGCAACAATTTGTCTATCTGATTAACCATAAAGTCAATGGTTAGGAACATGTCTTATTGTTATGGCTTTGAAACCGTTTATTACTGGAGTAGTAAAAAAAACATGAATACAAAACTACACTGTTTTGTATTCATGCTTTACTACTAGCATAGTTTCTAAATCAAAACTAAAATTTAAATTTGCATTAGAGCCCTGGGGGTGCTGTGTTATTAAGACGGGAATGATAATTTCGTATTCTAATAGTCCAGGATCACCGCTTGAAGAGTGTAGGACACTGGAAATTCTTCGTGCATTGAAGGAATGAAGGAAATATTGTGGTATCAACGCTGGGATTCGAACTTCTGTTCAGCCGGTCATGAGAATCATCGATTACTCTCAGCTACAGTATGTACCCAGCTGCACGAAACTAAATGGCTTCATAAGATGAGCCTAGTTGATGTAGATAGAATACTGGTTATTAAACCGTATTAGGTATAAAAAAAACAGCAATAAACAAGCGATTTTTCTCATACATAAAAGTTTGAATATGTTATTTGACTGTTTTGGTTGAACATGGTAAACTTAAATCTTAAATAAATTATGATTAAAGAAATTGCTATTTAACCAGAAATTTCTAACAGTGTAAGTTGTAGTTCTCATTGATAATATGTGTTATTCTACTTAATCGATCTTTTTTGTATTTTATTATGCAACAAAAAATGAAGAAATTTATTAAAAGTTTAAAATGAATATTTCAAAACGAAAAATTCTTAAATATCGAAATAAAAACTGTATTATTAACATGAAATTAACTTACGTAATATTCTCTATAAATATAGACAAATCAATAAATATAGACAGATCTATAAATATAGACAAATCTATAAATATAGACAAATCTATAAATGTAGACAATAGACAAATGCCATTTGTAAAAATAAACGTTATAAATTGATAAATATATTATAAATTTAAATATGAATGTAACATATAGAGACCTAATTGCGGGAGAACAAATTCTAAAAACTTCAGAAACAACATTGTCAAGGTACTTCATATTTTGAATTGATTCATATTTCAGTTCACCCTGAAATTATAAAATTAGAGTTATCAACAATAAACATACTAGCAAATAGACATCTTTATTAGAAAGTGAGTCGAAGATAAACATTTTCAAATATTTTTCAATTTACTTTATTTAAAATGTAATTAGAAAAATCTTAATTATCTTTATTAGTTCTCTATAGATTATATTCTCACTTGCAAATAATTTGGTCATGGAAAAAGACAAACATTAGTAATTACAGTTGGTCTATTAAATAAGTCGAGCGTCGACAGAATACTCTGATTCTCACTTTTGGTTAAGGGAAAAACTTAAAATTCTAATTCTAGCATTCGTTAATCTAAATTTAGAACTAAAATGACGAATGTGAATAATAAATGTGAGAACGCGCTTCGTTTTGATAGATAATAAATTAAGTAAGAGAATTTAGATAAAGAAAAGATTTAACAAAGCTTTATTTATATATATATATATATATATATGATAAATAAATAAATACAAGAAAACACGAAGAAAGTTAATATTTTTTCCATGCGCAAATCAATTTCGAGCCAATCCGTGTTAAAATTATCTATTAAAATTTTTTTCTTTGATAACTTATATAATTTTTCTATGTGCTAATCCGTGCAAACCCGTGGCTAAAATTATTTGCAAAACACGCAATTTATGTTTCTCTTTTCTATTTTATATTTTTTTCTAAATAAACATCTGTTTTCTAAAACTTTTTATGGTCAATTTTTAAAATTATCCAGTATGATATTACCTTGCGCGCATCCATTTCGGGCCCATCCTTGGTAACTAACAAATCAATGCACAGAATAACAAATCTCTTCAGCAGTGCAGTAAGAACGACATTTTAAAACCCTCTTGTTACACTCAATTTGCGCTTTTGTTTTCATATTTTGTAATCTGACAATCTTTCGGCGAAAACATTTTTAAATCATTCTTGAAAAATTCCCGTCCATGTAAGTTGATCTGATTTCACTACTCGCTTTATAGTCCGTTTCTATACTGTTTTTTCTTTTTCTTTTATTTTATTTTCTGTTTTTACATGTTATTTTTACTTTTTGTGTTCCATTTTATTTGTTGTAAATTTTATTAAAAAAAATTTTTAGTGCTCCTCCCACTATTGCATTAATATATTGTGCTTTGGCTTTATTGATACAATATCAGAAAACACTATGTCTTGCGGATATAAACGTGTGGGCTGATGAAAAGATTATACTCTTTTTTTCCGGTTTTTCAAATGAAATTTCATCCTTTTTTTTTTTTTAAACTGTTGTTTGTTATTTTTTGACTTATTATTCCCCCCTCCCTTTTTTTTCTTCATATGTCTATTATTTTTCTTTGTTTTATTCTTCATTTTGAACTTATCTTATGAGTGCTGTTTACTTGCAGTTTAAGCGCAATAAATGATACTTATTGATTTTCTTAACTTTCTTAGTGTTTTCTTGTATTTATTTATTTAT